GCCCAAGAGGCCCCCAAGATCGCCCAAGAGGCCTCCAAGAAGGCCCTATGACGGCCCAAGGGCCCCCCAAGACGGCCCCAAGAGCGCCCCAAGACGGCCCAAGAGGCCTCCAAGACGCCCAACATGGCCTCCAAGACGGCCCTGAAGCGCCCCAAGAGGGCCCCAAGACGGCCCAGAGAGGCCCCCAAGACGGCTCCAGACGGCGTCAGACGGACCAGGAACGCCCTAAGACGGCCAAAGAGACCCCCAGGAAGCCCCCAAAGGCCCCCAAGAGGCCCAAGGAGGCCCCCAAGATGCCTCCAAGAGGCCTCGAAGAGGCCCCCAAGAAGCCCCCAACAGACCCCAAGGGTGCCCCAAGAGACTCCTAACAACCCTCATCCTCCTACTCTATTTTTTCCTCTTCCTCTTCCTGTTCATAATCAGTATCTCCCATGTGTTCCCCGAAAGCTTTCCAAACCGACTCGGGGAACTCATGGTCCGATAGCTTGGCCAAGCTCTAGTCCAACTTTCGGCCACATCGGCGTTTCCAAAAAGGCAGGGGGCGGCGGTGATTCGCCGTAGGCGTCTTAGATACACAGTGAAGCTGGCAAGGTGAGAGCAACCCTTGGTCAGGACAACGGCTTGACAACGTTCATGATGATTCAAAGATCAAGGCTTGATAATGATGCTAATGATCACACATGACTTCGCACAAATGTTCTCGCTATGAGTGGCACGCTGAACATACTTGGCTGCTCATCATCGTTGACGTCCTCCTGTCCTCGGTTCCTCATCCTTCTTCTTTTGCTTCTCCTCCTCCTCCTCATTCTCCTCCTCATCCCATTCTCCCTGTCCAACTCCGCTTACTCACCATATCGCACATTCCCACCAGCCCTCTGGGCGTAGGTGGTCTAGGGCATTTCCTCTTCCAACCCCCTTCTTCCCCTTCGGACCCCCTCCCCTGGACCTGGACGGGAGGGGCCGCGAGCGGTTAGAGCGCCCAAGATGGCCCAAGATGGCGCCAAGAGGGCCTCGGAGAGCCCAAGATGACCTCCAAGATGGCTGAAGATAGCCCAAGATGCCTCAAGATGGCTCCCAAGATGCGCCAAGAAGCCCCAAGAACGCTCCAGGACGGCTCCAAGAGGTCTCCGAGGCATGCAAGGAGGCCCTCAAGAGGCCAACAACCTTCCAAAACCTAAAGAAAACCAATGATGTGTGCCTTCTCGCCTTTTCGCTACCGATGGCTTTCCGAGGCCTCAGGATGGCTCCAAGATGGCCCAAGAGGGCCCCAAGAGAGGCCCAAGAGAGCCCCAAGAGGGCCCCAAGAGCATCCAAGAGCGCCCCCAGAGCGCTGCAAGAGCTGCACGCGGCAAATGACGTACCCCCTCCTGTCCCCTTCACCCCTTTGTCGTCCGTCACAGTAAGCAGGAGGCCTCCTTAATGGGGTCGGAGAAACATGGGGTCGGAGGATCGTGCTGCACCGGCGATGCATCGGCGATGCATCGGCGATGCACCGGCGATGCACCGGCGATGCACCGGCGATGCATCGGCGATGCACTGGCGACGTCGGCGCTGCATCGGGGACGTCGGTGTCGAGAAAGTTGAGCCCCATATCGACCCGCATCGCCGATGCATCGCCGAGACATCGGCGACCCGCCAGGATCCCCCGACCCCATCTGCTCGGACCCCATCTAGGAGGCCTAGATAAGATCAGGTCGGACGAAGACGGGGACACTGTCAATGGTGAAGTGGTTGGGGACGGAGGTGGTTTGCTGGTGCTGCTTCTTCGCAGCAGCGCCGTCCTTAGACGCTCTGTCCCAGATTGTTTGTTTGGTGCTGCGCACGTGGCGCCAGGCAAGCGCGCAGCAGGGGATGCTTACCCTGTGTCCCGATCCCCCGCCACGGAGGCGGCTCTGTGGCGGCGCCTCCATGCACACCACGGTCCAAAGCATGCACACTGCGGTCCAGAGCGTGAAAATCGATTCGCTTCGATCCCCCCTCGCTCCACCTGCGTGGGCAGGAGAGGCTCACGCAGCCGACAGTTCTGCGGCGCTGGGAGGCGCGGTAGGAGGCGCCAGCGTCTCGAGGAGCCCGCGCCGGGCGGCGGGGCCGAGAGCAGCTGCGAGCAGCAGAGGGCGTGACCCTTCGGTGGCAATCCGTGGGAGCCTCCAATGCCATCCTGTCGGCTCCTGCGAATCGACGCCAGTGGACGCTAAATCGACGCTGAATCGACGCGCCAATCGACGGCAATCGACGCGACGCGACGCTAGATCGGCGCCACCTCATCGACTCCCAGACGCCAATCGACGCTAGTCAGCGCTAAAGACAGAATTGAGATGGTATACCGGGCTCCCATGATTTGCTACCGTGCGTATTCCCCCCCCGTCCCTAACACCACCTTTTCGTCCGTCACGGTGAGACCAAGGTCCAAAAGAAAGCAGTGAGGCACGAGCGTCACGCGTAGCGAGCCGGGCTACATAATCAAAGGGGTCCGTGGCCTTGCATTTGCCCTTCTCATGTAGTCTAGGCCAGGGCCCGCGTGGGAGGTCCCCGGGAGCCCGAGAGAAATGAAACCAAAAGCCACCAGGGAATGGGGATTCCCCGCTGCAATGTCTCGGCGGAGAACAGCGGGTCATGCCCAGAAGCCGCTAAGAGGACCTCCACCCCCGCATCCACCTCTTCCTCCTCCTCACTCTCTTCCTTATCCTCCTCGTCCTCATCCGTCAAATCCTGCTGATGCGGTTCTGCCACAGTATATGACTACCACCACCAAGATCGAGAATAATCTACGATGCGATTTGGTGCAATTTTGGTATGGTGAAATTCCCGCAGTCCCCCTGCCACCGCCAACAAGGACCGAAACAGAATTCATCAAAGCACGCGCGGTGGTGTATAAAGTGTTGGTTACCAAGAGGAGCGATTCTTATACACCACCACCAAGAAGTGCTGTTTCTGCTTCAGGAGTTCCCCATGCCACGGCGCCTGCGAGCTGCGCCGCGCTCCTTTTCGCCGTGGCGTCGCAGCGTCGTCTGGCATGACCCTGCCCCTAGCCCTTTTTGCGGTAGATTACTGTTTCGGGCGGTGGTGGTATAAAAATTGGCCTACTCTCCTCTACCCCCCCACATCTCAACTTTGTCCTCCTCATCCTCCTTCTCCTCCTTCGCCGTCTCCACCTAGCCATCAGTCTTCCCATCGTACCATTGGTTTGCCTCCACCTCTGCCACCTGCAACTGACCTCCTCCTGCACATCCAACTCCACACCACCCTCCTCGTCTTCGGTCTTCGGTCTGCTGCGGTTGCGCTTGCGGTGGCGCCCGCGGGCGGCCCAGCATGCGCCCGCGGGCGGACGAAATGTGCCGCTCAGTTGCGGCTGAGCTTGCGCGAGCGGGCGCCCACAAATGTACTGCAGCGTTCGGCTGCGGTTGCGCTTGCGATTGCGGCTGCATCCGCGGGCGGCTCAAAAGGTGCACTTCGAGCTGCCCCCTCGGATCAATCAGCTCAGTCAGCGCGGTCAATTCAGGCAGCTTTGTCAGCTGAGTCTGTCAGCTCCGGCTGGAAATTAACTCAGGTTTGCAGGTTAGTGTCGTGGCCGAGGCGTCGGCGGACGGCCGAAGCAATTTGCGCCTCACGTCAAGAGAAGGAGGAGGAGGAGGAGGAGGAGGAGGAGGAGGAGGAGGAGGGAGGAGGAGGAGGAGGAGGGCGGAGGAGGAGGAGGAGGAGGAGGATGAGGAGGAGGAGGAGGAGGAGGAGGAGGAGGAGGGAGGGGAGGGGAGGAGGAGGAGGGAGGAGGAGGAGGAGGAGGGCGGAGGAGGATGAGGAGGAGGAGGAGGAGATAGGAGGAGGAGGAGGAGGAGGAGGAGGAGGGAGGAGGGAGGAGGGAGAAGGGAGGAGGGAGAGGAGGGCGCGGAATTGCACCCGGCTCCGCCAGGAAAAACTCTGCAGGCCCGTTCCCCTCGGGGGTCTTTTTGCCTCGGAGGGGGGGGCAGAGAGGCGAGGGCGGAGGGACAGCGTGCCGCTACTCCTCGAGGGCCCTTCGAGGAAGGACCCTTCGACCCTCGAGCATTGCGGGAGGACCTCCCACCTTCCTCCCCCTCAAATAGAGGATAAGCCTGCATAGACATGCTTCATCGGAGGTCCGCGCGGATTTCTTGGATCGGCCCTGGACCCCCCTCCCTGGGGGCGGCCTCGGAGGCGCCGCCACGGGGGCCCAGCGCCGATCTAGGAAATCCGTGCGGGCCTCGGAGGAATTATGAGTTATACATGTTCTTGTTTTTCGATCCTCCGCGTCCTCCTCCTCCTCCTCCTCGCCCTCCTCCTCCTCCTGCTTCTCCTCCTCCTCCTCCTCCTCCTCATCCTCCTCCTCCTCCTCCTCCTCCTCCTCCTCCTCCTCCTCCTGCTCCTTCGGGCGCGGCCTACCGGACCCTACCATGGCCAGCACCTTCGGTGACGTTATCCTCGCCTTCCAAGCTCAAATCCAGCCGCATACCTGCGTCTTGAGCCGAGGCGAGAGGAACGCTACGAAAGAAGATGGCTTGCTGGAGATCGGCCAGGCCGCCCCCGACTCCTCCTCCTGCTCCTCCTCCTCCTCCGCCTCCTCCTTCTCCTCCTCCTCCTCCTCCTCCTTCTCCTCCTCCTCCTCCTCCTCCTCGCCCCCTCCTCCTCCGCCCTCCCCCTCCCCCTCCTCCTCCTCCTCCTCCTCCTCCTCCTCCTCCTCCTCCTCCTCCTCCCCCTTCCTCCCTCCTCCTCCTCCTCCTCCTCCTCCTCCTCCTCCTCCTCCTCCTCCTCCTCCTCCTCCTCCTCCTCCTCCTCCTCCTCCTCCTCCTCCTCCTCCTCCTCCTCCTCCTCCTCCTCCCCGTCGAGCAGAGGCCCTGCCTCTCTCCTCGAGGGCCTCGAGAGGGAGGAGCACGGGCACTCGGGCGCTCCGCCATGCTCTGCCTCGGCTAGGAGCGCCCAGTGGGGCCCGCGGCGCCCCGGCCAGCGGAGAGAGGGGCAGCGGGCAACGGGGGGCGCGGGCTGCGCACGAGCTTCCGCGAAGGGTCTCCACGCGGCTTGTGGCCTCTGGGAAGGCGGGCTGGGTACTCCTGGCGCCCCGGGTCGCCCTCATGCTCCGCCTGCTCGCCCTCCTCCTCCTCCCCTCCTCCTCCTCCTCCTCCCTCCTCGCCCTCCCTCTCCTCCCTCCTCGCCCTCCTCGCCTCCTTCTCCTCCTCTTCCTCCTCCTCCTCCTCCTCCTCCTCCTCCTCCCTCCTCGCCTCCTCCTCCTCCTCCTCCTCCTCCTCCTCCTCCGGCCCTCCTCCTCCCCTCCTCGCCCTCCTCCGCTCGCCCATCTCCTCGCCCTCCTCCTCCTCCTCCTCCTCCTCGCCCTCCTCTCTCCTCGCCCTCATATTTCCTCCTCTCCCTCCTCCTCCTGGCCTCCTCCCTCCTCCTCCTCCTCCTCCTCCTCCTCCTCCTCCTCCTCCTCCTCCTCGCCCTCCTCCTCCTCCTCCTCCTACTCGCCCTCCTCCTCCTCCTCCTCCTCCTCCTCCTCCTCCTCCTCCTCGCCCTCCTCCTGCTGTCCTCCTCCTCCTCCTCCTCCTCCTCCTCCTGCTCCTCCTGCTCCTCCTCCTCCTCCCCTCCTCCTCCTCCTCCTCCTCCTCCTCCTCCTCCTCCTCCTCCTCCTCCTCATTCTCGTTCTCTTTCTCTTTTTCTCCTCCTCCCTCCTCCTCTCCTCCTCCTCCTCCTCCTCCTCCTCCTCCTCCTCCTCCTCCTCCCCCTCCTCCTCCTCCTCGCCTCCTCCTGCTGATCCTCCTCCTCCTCCTCCTCCTCCTCCTCCTCCTCGCCCCTCTCCTCCTCCTCCTCCTCCTCCTCCTCCTCCTCCTCCTCCTCCTCGCCCTCCTCCTCCTTCTCCTCCTCCTCCTCCTCGCTCTCCTCGCTCTCCTCGCCCTTACCCTCACCCTCTCCGTACGCCCCCCCGCACCCCGTGGGCCTGGGATGCTGGCACAGAAAGACTGCACCGGCATGACCTTCCGAAGATCCCCGCGCGGATGTCTATTGGGGTGGCGACGAAAGCGGCGACAACGGCGCGGACGGCGCGCGGCGACAACGGCCGCGAAGCCATGGAAGACGATGGCGACGGCAACTATGGCGATGGCGGTGGCGACGGCGGCAGCGAGAGCGGCGGCGACGGCGGCGGCGAAGGCGACGGCGGCGGCGGCGACGGTGACGACTGCGGCGGCGACGGTGACGACTGCGGCGACCGCGGCGACGGCGACAGCGGCGACGGCGACAGCGGCGATGACACACTTTGTTTTCGGCCCGAACTGCTGGAAACCTTGCGCCCGCTACAAATGCAGCGGAACGCACGCCGCGCGCTGCCGGAACGCTCGCGCTCGATGAAGATGCGCTGCTGGAGCGCACCCCTGTTTGTGCGGCATGGGCTGCCGGAGCTTGGAGGAGGGAGGAGGGAGGAGGAAGGAGGCATGGGCTGCTGGAGAAGGGGTGCGGTAGACGGGGGTGCTCGCACTGTGCCAGAGACTCGTTCCCAAAAGGGCGGTTCTGGATGGGGTATTTGTATCACGGGGTGGCCGATGAAACTTCCAGCTGAGCTTGCCCAATCCCGCACCCTCCATCCTCCTCCCCCTCCTCCCCCTCCTCCCCCTCCTCCTCTCCCTTCAAAACCCCCTCCACCAGTGCCGACAGCACGAGCCCAACCCCCCCAGCAGATTCAGAGGGGGGGCGATGATTGTCCCATCCAGGGTGCGGACGCAGCGAGGGCCGAAGCGTGAAGATCGCCAGACCCAAATAAACTAGAAACAATCCGCCACCGTACTCTTGGCACGAAGTGGCCCAAGGCTCACAGCTGTGCTGCTGCTGCTGCTGACCCTGGTTTCCCGGGCGCTCCCGGGAAATTCTGGGAGCTCTCCATGGAGTGTGTCGCGTACGTCCTCCGGAAGGAGGGGCCCAAAACGGGCCAAGAAAGCCCTGCGAGGCAGCCAAGACAGTCCAAGAGGGCCCCAAGTCGCCCCATGATCGCTCCCTCTGATGGCCTCAAGAGGGTCACAGAGGCCCCCTGCAAGCTCCAAGGGCGCCCCACGAGGACACCCAGGAGGACCGTGAGAGGCTAAAATCATAAAATCATAGATTGTCCTTGGTCTTTCAGATGTTAGCCTTCTCGTTTTTTTCAGCTTCCAATGCTCCAAGACGGCCCGGCCCAAGACGCCCCATTCGCGCCCCAGACTGCCCAGGAGGCCCAGCCCCAAGACGCCCCAAGAGGGCCCCAAGACGTGCCCAAGAGGCCCCCAGAGACGACCCAAGAGGCACCCAAGAGGGCTCAACAGGGGCTCAAGAGGGGTATACGAAGGCACATTCCGATCCTTCCACCCCAAAACAGCCCCAAGAGCTTTCCAGAGGCTCGCGAGCCCCCCCCCCCAAGACGCCCCAAAAGGCCACCAAGAGCCAAGAGGCCCCCGTCAAGCCCCACAGAAGCCCCAAGATCCGTGCAAGAGTCTCCCGAGAGGCTTCCTCAGAGACCCTCATATGCATCCAAGAGGCCTCTGAACCACGGCCCAAGCACAATGGCGGGATGGGCTGAGGGCCATCAGATATTGCACTGACTGCGATATCTCGTGGATAGTGAACGAAGCCCCTGGGGGGGCCTCAGTGGCGCCCAGATGCACGAGGAGCGTCAAGGGAAAAAACTCGAAAGGACCTGCAGAAGATCGACCACCTTTTGAAGCCACAAGAAACATGATCCAAGAATTGAACCTCCGATGTCTTTCCACGTCTGGCCCCCCCGGGGATCTCTACTTCCCCAAGGCCGGCGTCTGATCCCAGGCCATTTTTGTCGATGGTCCCAGTGCCGTGAGAACGTCTCCAAAAGCTTAGTGGCACTTGAAACGTCAAGGCCGAATTTGTTACCAATTCGGGATTTCCGTTGTTGCTCTGATTCCGTCACATTGAGTTCCGTGTTCTCTCGCCGTGTTGCTTAAGTTTCGGCGAGCCGATGTCTCACTACTGTCCGAATCAGCAGCCAGGATGTCTTGAATCAGTGCGGAAAACGCCCTGCTCGTTCGAAGGCCCAGAGGCCGAAAGTGTCAACAACAATCACTTTAAGACTGTTCGCTTTCATATGCTCGCGTGTCATCCAAGATGTAAATCCCGAACTCTCGATACCCGCCCTCTTCGACTTCGATCGTACCCTCCTTCAAGGGATATCTTACTTACCTGCCACGTGTACTTAGCGTAGCCGCTAAGACAAGGAAGGGAGGGAGGAGGGAAGAGACAAGGGGGAGGGAGAACGATGGAGCACGAAAAAGATTTGCAAGAGGTAGGTTAGGAGCAGGAGTACAAGCGGCAGAACCAAACAGGCCGGTCGGACAGGCGGACCCTAACGAGCAGGTCGGGCGAACGGGCCCAGACGGCTGGATCGAGCGGGCGGATCGCTGAAGCGTCAGTCCACAATGAATTGCAAAGAAGCTTCGGGCGGCAGCGCGATTCTCAAGTCAATCGCTGGGAAATTCACAGCGAGAGTATGATTTTCCAGAGCGTCGAGGGCGCGGCGCCGCCAAACAAATATGAGGAAATATGCCGCGCGAGACCGCGGGTCCTGCATACTTTGCGAAGAAGTCCCACGCGAGGACGCGATGTTGAAATGAAACATGAAGAAGTATCGGGCGGAAACTGTTGCTCTTGTTGTTGAACTTTCGGTCCTGAACGATAACTGCTGTTGATCCCCCCTCCGGTGACAATGGCACTTCTCAAATGAAAAGATCCTCCCAGGGGACGCACACTGTTTTTCCGAAAACAGCACGGTGAAATGACATGTCACCAAAATGAAATGTTGGCCCCCTGGTTTCAACAATGACGGTTCCGACCTGATACTTCCTCACAATGCATTCCAACATCGCGCTCTCGCGCGGGACTTCCTCACGATGTATGCAGGAATCACGCTCTCGCGAGGACTTCTTCGTAATTTACTCAGACGCCGCGCCCTCCACACTCAGGAATCACGCTTTGGCCTTTCTCGCGGTTTACTTGGGAATAGAGCTATCGCTCGAAACTTCCGCGCGATTCATGCAGGACTCACGCTTCAGCGATCCGCCCGCTCGACCTGGCCGCCTAGGCCCGCGTTCCAGATCCGCCCGCTAAGGACTTCACGCCCGATCTGCCCGTCTGGTTCTGCCATGTGCTATCTGCTCGTAGCCCCCATCCTGCTAATCTCTCTCAAACTCCATCCTCCTTGTGTCCATCCGTCTTCTCCTCCCTTGTCTTAGGAGCTGCACGAAATACACGCTGCAGGTGAGAAAGGTAGCCCGAAGGGGGTACGATCGAAAACGAAGAGGGCGATTAAGAGCGAACAATATTAAAATGATTGTCGTTGTTGAAACCTCAGTCTTGAAGAATAAAAATTGCTGCTCCCCATCTCCTGTGCACTTTGTGCTTTTTCAATTGGAATGCCCCACTCGGGGCTCGCGCCCGGTTTTCTATCAGGCAAAATCTTCCTGCTAAAACTGCGTTGTGGGGCCACGGACTACAGTAACAACAACAACGACACCAAGAACAACAACAGCAACAACAACAGCAACAACAACAACAGCAACAATCATTTGAAGACTGTTCGCCCATATATGCTCGAATGTCCAATAACGCGTGTTTCCCAAACCCTCGATACCCGCCCTCTTCGTCTTCGATCGAACCCCTTTTGGGGGGTGTACTTTTCTTCCCTGCAGACCCGGTCCTGGCAAGCGGCGGGGCGGCCGCGGACCGTCGGCCTGGCCAGCGGCAGCGCTGATCGGCGGGGCGGCCGTGGACCGTCGACCCGACCCCAAGAGGGACGGACAGGGGACCGACCACGACGACGACGACGACGACGACGACGACGATGACGACGACGACGTCGAAGACGACGGCGACGACGGCGACGACGAGGGCCAGTTTGAGCAGGAAGACTTTTCCTGTCAGAAAACAGGGTCCGAGCGTCGAGGGGCACACTTTGATTGAGAAAAAACAGTATGCATCGGTGAGGGGGGATCAACAATAATTATTCTTCAAGAATGAGAATTCAACAACAATCATTTTAAGCCTGTTCGCTCTTGACTACTCGCGTGCCATTTAACACGTATGCCCCGAACCCTCGATGCACGCCCTCTTCGTCTTCGATCGCACCCCCTTGGGGGTACCTTTCTCACTTGCAGCGTGTATTTCGTGCAGCCCCCAAGGCAGGGGAAGAGAGGACGGATGGCTGGGGACCCAGGCGACGCAACAAACCTTGCTATGCCTTCTTGAGTTTTCACCTCATATGAATAATTATGGTTGGTCTGCCCCCGTCGGTGCACCCTTTGCTTCTTCAATTCAAGTGTTCCTCCCAGGATTCGCATCCTTTTTAATATGGAAAAGTACTCCTGCTCAGAATGCGTGTCTCGTCCCCCAAAACTACAGCACCACCACCAACAACAACACCAACACCAACACAAACACCAACACCAACAACAATCATTTTAAGATTGTTCGCACTTATTGGCACGCGTGTCTTGCATTCTGCATACCCGAACCCTCGATACCCGCCCACTTCGTCTTCGATTGCACCCCCTTCTGGGGGTAATATCATCTTTGTCGGCCACTGACTGACGTGCGAGGAAGTCTCGAGCGAGAGCGCCGTTCCTGAGTTAGGGGGGCTCTCTAGTGGGGGTTCTCGGAATACCTATGGAGAACTATCAAACGGAAACCCTTGTCGCCGTGTCTGGGCCTTCACCAACTTGCCTGAATTACGAGAAAGTCTCAAGCGAGAGCGCATTCCTGAGTTCGGGGGCCTTCCTGGCCAGGGGTTATCGAAGTAAATCGTGAGGTCGTACCGAGCAGGAGCCCTTGTCGGCGTGGCTGGGCCTCCGCCAACTTGATCGAATTGCGAGAAGTCTCCAGCGAAAGAGCCGTTCCTGAGTTCGGGGGCCTCTCCGGCCAGGGTGTCTCGGGGTAAATTGTGAGGAAGTATCGAGCAGGAGCCGTTGTCGTCGTAGCTGGGCCTCCAAGGGCACACATTTAGACTCGAGCCAACGCTCGAGCGGAAGCCTCGCTGTCAAAGAAGATGTGGCCGGCGACGAGACGAGAGCGCGCGGAACCGTTTCCGGAGATCAACGATTCTCGAGAAGTGAGTATTCTCAATCATGTCAAGACTGTTCGCTCCGATCTGTTCGCGTGCCATTCAACACGTATCCCATACCCTTGGTACCCAGCCTTGTCGTCTTCGATCGTACCCCGCTGGGGGCATATTTCCCGGACCTGCCACGCGCATTAGCGCAGCCACTAAAACAAAGAGAGGACGGATGGAAGGAAGGGACAAGGGGTAGGGAGGAGGATGGAGCATGAGAGAGACTAGCAGGATGGGGCTAGCAGCAGAAAGCACGTGGCAAAACCAGACGGGCGGATCGGGCGGGTAGGCCCTGACAGTCGGGTAACGAAGGCGGGCCCAGGCGGCCAGGTCGAGCAGGCGGGTCGCTGAAGCGTGCGTCCTGCATGAACCGCGAGGAAGTCTCGAGCGACAGCGCGATTCCCCAAATAAATCGTGACGCAATCCACAGCGAGAGCTTGATTCCTGAGTGTCGAGGGCACGGCGTCTGGATAAAATGCGAGGAAGTCCCATCCGAGAGCGCGATTCCTGCATTAATTTTAAGGAAATCCCGCACGAGAGCGCTCTCGCGCGGGACTTCCTCACGATGTATGCATGCATCACGCTCTCGCGTGGGACTTCCTCGCAATTTATTCAGACGCCGCGCCCTCCACACTCAGGAATCACGCTCTCGCATTGGCCTATCTGACGATTTACTTGGGAATCGCGGAATCGTTCGAACCGTCCTCGCGATTCATGCAGGACTCACGCTTTAGCATCCTGAGTGCTCGATCTAGCCGCCTGGGCCCGCCTTCCCGACCCGCCCGCTAGGGTCTTCCCGCCCGATCCGCCCGATCCGCCCGTCTGGTTCTGCCACGAGTTTTCTGCTCCTAGCCTCGCGACTGCTAATCTCTCTCGTGCTCCATCCTTCTCCCTCCCCTTTCCATCTGTCCTCTCTTCCCGTGTTTTAGGGGCTGCGCTAAATGCGCGTGGTAGGTAAGGAACTTGTACACCCCGAGGGGTACGACCGAAGACGAAAAGGTCGGGTACCGAGGGTATGGGAGATACGTGTTGAATGGTACGCCAACAGATCGGAGCTAACAGCCTTAACATGATTGTTGTTGTTGGTGGTGTTGGTGGTGGTCGTGTTGTTGCCGAAGTTTGGGGGCCAGAAACGCATTCTGAGCAGGAATACTGTGCCATGTTAAAGATGGTGCCAGCCCTGGGAGTAACACTTGAATTGAAAAACAACGGGTGCACCGACGGGGGGAGATCAACCATAATTACTGATTGGGGATGAGAATTCAAGAAAACATAGCGAGGATTGTTACGTCGCCTGGGTCCCCAGCCACCCTCCGACAGGATGTTCTTGAATATGCAGGCCCGAACCTCCCGAACCATTCCCCGGAAATGGTTTTGCGTCCCCGATCCGCTGTGTACTGTCCTGGGGCCAAAAGGGCAACAGCAGGTCGAATTGAGGAGGAGGGGGAGGGGAAGGAGGAGGAGGAGGAGGACATGCGAGGAACTGTTTCTCTTGAAAAAACTGTGCACTATATAAAACAGTGTTGCTGTCTTAATTAATGTGTTTGTGTCTTATTCTTCCATTTCTAATATATTTTTATACACATATATAGATAAGTATCATGTATTATTATCTTGTTCACACCCTCAAACACTGAACAAGCACAAACTCTCGGCGCTCCGCGCGGATCTCTTGGATTCGCGCGGGACCCCCTCCCTGGCGCGCGCAGATCCGAGAAGTAATCCGCGCGCAGCACCAAGACCTTCTGTCTATGCAGTTGTTGCTTTTTGGCGGCGCGCACAAGGGTCGGGGGGAGGCGAGGGCTTCTTAGAAGCAGGCTGCTTCTTAAAAGGCGCCGGCCTTACATCTATAAGGCCCGCGCCTTCTAAGAAGCAAGGGTGCTTCTAAGAAGCCCTCCCCTTTCCCCCCACCCACCTCTGCGCGTGGCTGAGCTTGTCCTTTTTGGACCAAAACATGCAAGGAACGTTCAGGAGCGAGCCCGAAAAGTCACGTTTCGCTGGCGCGGAGCGGAGCGGAGCGGGGATCGCGCACCGCAGGTCCGACGGACTGGCCCCATACGAGGGCCGCGCGGGTGGGCCGGGGCCCAGGAAAGAGGGCCACGACGCGGCATTGACGAGCTTCAGCTGGAATTAGATTGGTATCAGGAAAGAGAAACTACATAAACACCAACTTCTGGCCCTCCGCGCGGATTCTTGAATCTGCACTGGGCCCCCCCCCCTGGCGGAGCCTCCGGCGCCGCCCGCGCGTCCGGGACGGGGTCCAGCGCAGATCCGAGAAATCCGCGTGGAGCGCCGAAAGCTTATGTTTATGCCGACTTTTCCTCGTCTATGGTGGGCGCTGGAGTTGGAGAGGTCGGAGCCAATGCCGGGACGGAGTCGGAATCGGAAATGACAAATGACCCGGCCGAAGCGGACCTCCGTTCCTGCCAGAATCGGAGAGGCTCGAGCTGGAGCCAGAAACTGGAATCGAATACGTATACACCAGGATTGTGCCGTGACGGCCCCGGGGCTGGTTTCTGACGCCGCGTAGATCGTGCAACCTTCAACGAGCGGCGGCTTCACAATCGCCAGATCTAGAGGAACGAAAGATGGCACAAACAGAAACACTCCGAGGTCCGCGCAGATTTCTCGGATCGGCGCTGGACCCCCCCTGGCGCGCGGAGCGGAGCGCGCCAGGGGCGGCGCCGGAGGCGCCGCCAGGGGGCCCCAGCGCCGAGCCGAGAAATCCGCGCGGACATCCCAGTTGTTGTATGTTTATGTCATTCTTCGTTCCCCTAAGATCGCCCCATACTCGCCGATTCTGGAGCACCTGCGGCGTTCAACCTTGAACGCCCGCGCTGGGGGTCGCAGCCACGTCGACACGACACGAAGCCATCGTAGGGGGCGAGGGTTCGGTGAGTCTTGCTGAAAGCTCAATCTCACAAACAAATACCGCCTAGCTTTAGTGGCCTCTGGTGGCCTTCAGCGGCCTTTCGAATAGTATCGGCGGCCTTTGGGTGGCTTGGAGCCGACCTTTTAACAGCTTGTGGCTGCCTCCAGCGGCCGTGAGCAGCCTTCCCTGGCCTCCAGCGGCATTTAGTGGTCTCCACAAAAATGCAAAGGAGGGCATTACGCATCTTGAGATGAGCCTCCAAAGAGACCCACTGAATGAGAGGGGCCCGCGGAGCCTCTCGGGCTGGGGGGGGCAGTGGGCCGAGGGCTGGGATACGGTACAGGGCAGTTTTTAATACATGGGATGCTTAAAAATATATGATTTTTATACAGGATGAATGTGTGAATAAATGTATGCATGAACTCATCGTTGTTTTTAATGCTAAATCCATGCATGTTTAATACATGATCCGCACGCGGAGCATGTATTAAAAACGGCACTGTAGGTTCGCGCGACGTCGGCGCATGCGAAGACGTTTGACACCACCTCGATCGTTCAACCCTGCACCGATCGCGGTCCCGATCCTTCAAGCTTGAATCCCGTCGCGTCCTGTGGCGTCACCGTGACCCTCGGTGCTTCCGCGAAGCTCTACTAGGGAAACCAAAGGGTACCCCACTCCTCGGACCTCTCCCAGGGTGCGTTCTGACAAGAACGCCCAGGCGAATCCAGCGGTGGCGACGAGGGCCGCCCAAGAGGCCAAAAAACGAGGGAAGGGTTGAAAGATGGGTACCTCCTCCTCCCCTGATCTATCTGACGGAATTCAACCCTGAACGCCTCCACTAGCGTCGCTGGCGCGCCATCGCCGCAGGAACCTGCCGTTTCCGCTGGGCGACTCCACCCTGGCCCCAAGGAGGGATCCTGGAGGAGCATCACGACCCAGACCTGCGCCGCGCGGGGGAGAGGGAGGAGGGGCGAGGAGGGGGGGCGAGGAGAAAGGGCGAGGAGGAGGGGCAGAAGAGGAGGAGGAGGAGGAGCAGAAGGAGGAGGAGGAGGCGGAGGAGGGGGGGAGGGGGGGCGAGGAGGACGAGGACAAGGAGGAGGAACGTTTTGGAACGCTTTGGCAAGCAACGCTGTGCAAAGGATAGGGAGGAGGAGACAAAAAAAAAAAATAAAAAAAGCAAAAGAAAAACAAAAAAAAAATAACAAACAAAAAGAAAAAACAAAAAAAGAACAAAAAAAAAAAGAAAAAAAAAAAAAAAAAAGAAAAAAAGAGAAAAGATAAAAAGAAAAAAGAAAAAAAAAAAAAAAAAAAAAAAAAAAAAAAAAAAAAACAAAAAAAAAAAAGAAAAAAAAAAAAGAAAAAAAAAAAATATTAAAGAAAAAAAAAAACAAAAAAAAAAGAGAAAAACAAAAGAAAAGAAAAAAAAAAAAAAAAAGAAAAAAAAAGGAAAGGGCCCTCAAAGACGAGGCACCAAAACCGAGCCGGCACCCCCGCGTCGCGTCCGCTACCACGCAGGGCGCGGACGCCCCTTGGCCCCGACACCCCCATCGAATGACGGGTGGGGCGAAGGCTCCGCCAGGGACGGGGCCACGGACTCGGGCGAGCCTGCGCCACAAAGGGCTCTCTCGCGCTCCCGTGAACGCCTCCTTCTGATCAGCATGCTGAGATCATCGCCTCTCGCAGCACAGCAGAAGCCTCCCGTGGCCCCGCGCAAAAAAGGAGACAAATCCCTGCGAACTCGCACCACATCCTCCTGGCCCTTTCGAGAGGGGTCTTGCAAGCGGGCACCACCTTGCGCCCGTCGGCGGTCGCGCTCCTGCCATGAGGGATGGAAAAAACGACCCTACCCTGGGTTACAAGTGCGTGGTCTGTAAACCTCCTGGGAACCCCCAAAGCCTAGAGCCGCCAGGACGCGGCACATCACGCAGGGTTTACCCTGCCAGCCCATGGGAGCTTCATCGCACAACGCCTCTCAAACCAGGGTAGCGGCGTTTTTTCTGCCCTTGATGGTTACCACAATGCTGGCAGAAATACACGCCGCGCAGATCCCAAAACGACAGCTTGCAGAGAGGATGCAGGACCGACCCGCTCACCTCCACGGGCCAAGGGGCCGAGACGACGACGTCCGAAGGAGCACGAGCAAACCTCAACGGCAGGGGCGCAAGGGGACTCGAGAGGTCTCCATCGGCCGTCCTCTCGCACGGAAGCTCGCACCTTCGGCAACGCACGGACGAACCAAAATGAAGGGGAACTGGGACACACAAATAAATACACAAAAATAACAGGATTCCCCATATGTTCCCATAGTTTCTGTTTTTTTGTGTCTTCCCCCCACTTCCCATATGTTCCCATATTTTCTGGGGAATCGTCGATTAATTGTGTCTGTGTTTTTTCCCTCCTGACAAAACACACACACACACACACACAAAAAAAAAAAAAACTGTGAGCCGACTCCCGCACCACCCGGTCCAACAACGACCCGGGCCTCGCGGGCTCTACTGGGGCCGCAGCGGGACGCCCGTTCCTGGGGTCGGCGGCGGCGGCCTCGATCAAAGCTCTGCGGGCCCGCGGATGTGGGGAGCCTGAGAACCCCGGAAGTCGGCTCTAGCGCCAACACGGCAAAACTGCGACCGCCCTTAGCGAGCGCTTATGAGCAAACCGTCCAGCTCAGCAGGGGGCGATGAGCAGCACGATCCCGTCCAACTGATCCAGCGAAGACGCTCCGCTTGACGACCAAGGACAAAGTTAGCAATCATAATCACATTCGTTCAGCATGCTGACCAAGTTTGCTGAGATGCAAACAGGAATCCGACAACTGCTTGGGATCGAGACCGCGCTTCGCGAGGGACGTAGTACGCCGTGCACGCGCACGAACAAGCCCCACCATTGCCCAACATGGCATGCCAGATGGGCGCGCCATGGAACGGCGCGAGAAAACTGCCACTTAAACTCAAGGCCCGCGGCGCGAGTGGGATCGGGATGTTCCGTGTGCGCCTGGAATGCATGATCAGCGCATGCCGATGCTGGCGATAGCAGGGTTGCCGTGACCCGCCAAAGCTGCAGCGTCTTCAACCAAGACCTGCGTGACTGGCTGGGCCAAGGAAACTGGCCACGAAAGGAGCGCAACTGCGTCTCCAATCCGCCATGTCCGCACCCTCGTCGGCAACGAGAGGGTTTGGGATCCATCTGGCAGCGTAGGACCTCGGCCCGCGCTCGATCAACTCGCGGTGATGACCGGCAGCGCGTCGCAGAGGGCTCTGATCCTTGAGCTGAAGAGCTCCCAGGCATGGGGCCGTGTTCGGATCGAGCTGAACCTCCTCGGCATCAGAGAGAAAGGCGTTGCCGTTGCTGGACAGCGAGGTGGCAGCCGTACTACGGCTGCGTAAACTTGAAGAGGTCGAGAGCTAAGTCAGCTGGGTTGAAGTGCAGCTCCACCTCAGCGGATATAAAAAGATGTCGCCGCAGCGTGGTTCGAGCGTGCCCCCCGCGCAGGACAACGCTAAACCTTGGGCCCGTCCCTGGAAGCGTCGAAAGCGGCCTGGGCCTTCTGCCGCTCGGCTGCACGCAAGCCCTCTCGGTTCTCGCCTGGAGGTGAAGCTGCTGCTGAGACGCTGCTGGCGGCGCCAGGTGTGGCGCCGCCACCAGGAACAGCAGCAGAGCTTGCGACGCCTGGAGCGACATCCCCGCCACGCCTGCGCTTCGTTTGCAAGGCAACCTCCTTGGTTTCCGCAGGAAGGGAAGTGCGGTTCTCCGTTGTGGGCCCCAAGGCTTTGGAGGTCTCGGCCTTGATGCCCGCGGCGAGGCTGGCCTTGACCCGCTCCCACTCCTGCAAGTCAATTATGAGCATGGGCCCGTCCACGTTTGTGAGCCCCACGACTCCGGTCCCGCAGGCGAAGAGGGCCGACAGGTTGAGCGACGAATCTTGGCCAACAGTGGGTGCGGTCGACGTCACTGGGATCTGCTGCGCGCACGCTGCCTCCCACACCAGATTCGCGTCACGCGCCGCTGCCATCGCCTGGTCCTCGGCCGCCCTAGCCTCCTTCATCCTGGCCTCCCCTGCCAAGACCTTCTGAGCGCAGCGTTTGAGCCCCGCCGTGGCAAGCCTGTAGGCGCAGCCCGTGGTCGCCACGGCCCCCTCGAGAAGGGGCTGGCGCGGTGCCGAAGGCGGTGGCGCAGCGGACCCCGTGGGCAACGCCTCCACGCGAGCCAGCTCCTCGGCGCCCTTTCGTGCCCAGTTTGGCGCGCAGCGAGGCCAGGGCGGCGTCGGCCTCGGGCGGGTCCGGCGTCGTGGAGCCGCCGTTCGGACACCAGCCGTCGCATTGGTAGGCCCACGGGCGGCCTCAAGTGGCACCTTCTTTGGGCTCACTTTTCGGTGGCGGAGGAAGTTTGTCCCTCTTGCCCCAGCCCTTGCCTGGAGCCCCGTGGGGTCCTCGGGGAACTCGTGGAAGGTCGGGGGCGTGCAAACATGGATTAGCGATCCCTCCCCAAAATGCGGCTGGTGCCGCCTCGCTCGGCGGCGGAAATCCGCGATTTCCAATCGAAACGAGAACCGTCGCTGATCCACGCCCCCTTGATCCATGTTTGCGATCGCCTGAGCAAGGCGAGTCCAGCACCGCGGGCGGTCCAAACGCCCACTGGCCCCGAAGGCGACGAACCGCCTCCGGGAGCTGCCACCAAGGGCCCCGCGCACTGGAAATTAGCACCAGCGGCTGCTCTGGAAGCCCCAGCGGAAGCGACAGGGCGGGCACGGTCCGTGGAACTGCTGCGCCTTGCCTCCACGCTCGCCTCCACTGCCGCGGGCCATGAAGACAGTGGAGGGAACTGGGCCGCCAGAGAGCCCCTGAGGTGCTGGGTGAGATGAAAGGATGTCGTCGCAAGCGCTCTGGCTCTGGCCGGGGGCTAGCGGTAGTTACGCGCTCCGCTGGGGAACTCGGCATCTTCGGCCAAAACGGCTACGAAGACGGAGGAGGAGCAGCAGCAGCACCACCACCACCAGGAGGGGACGAGGAGCAAAATGACCGAAGAGGAAGAGGAGCAGTAGGAGGAGGGCCGCAAGAGGGAGGAAAAGAAAGGACGGCGAAGGGGAGGCGACGGGAAGACGAGCGATGGGGAAGGGGTGCGCAAGATGAGGGAGAAGGACGGAGCGGGGGCAGAAGACAAATGGAGGGAGGACGAGGGCGAAGCCAACGAGATGTGGTGGAGGCAGGACGGAGTGGGATGTCACGCCTAGAACGAGAAGGAGAACGAGAAGGGTGAGGCCCTGCGAGGAGAACAAGAAGGGTGGCCCTGCAGGACTGGAGCGAGGAGGACTAGAACGAGGACGACAACGGGGAGACAAACATGTAAAACGTGCAGGGCGAGACGGGGAAGAGGAACCGTATCCGCTCCTGCCTCCACTCCTCCACCCCATCCTCCCTCTCATGCGCATGCCACGATTGGGCCCGTTGGGGGGTTCCAAGTCCGCGAAGTATGACACGCGTCGGCGGACAGAGAAGAATTCAGCGCAATGGGAAGGGACGTGTGGTCGGGGTAGGATGTCAGATATGGCGCGAGCGCACCTGGCTTGCCCTCCCTCCTCTCGTCGGTCTCCCCATCCCCCCCCCGTCCATGTGTCTCCTTCTTCCCCACCTGTCGGCGTGGCATGCAGGCGCCGAACGCCTCACCCCCGCGTGCTCAACGTGTGACCCCCGTCTGGCGGGATACGGACGCCACCAACCCGGCCCTCTGGCCCCGGTTTCGAAGAACGGACCCGCACAGGGTAGAGGGGGGGTGAGGGGCGCTTCAGGTATCGAGAGCGGGCCACGCCGTCGCGCGTGGACCAAACCCGAGATAGGGAACCGTGAAGTAGTCAGGGCGGCGCTGGGCTCCAAGGGAGTTGCTTAAGTGCCATCAGAGCCGTCAGAGCACTGACGAGAACAGCTGGAAAAGCTGGCATCGGAAA